AGATTATAGTACATTGTATCATTTATACATATATCTACACATAACAACTAATACTTAAACAACTAATGCTTAAATATTTTAAATAAAAACATTAAGCAACTTTTTGTGTGTTTCTTTTAAATATCCATTTGTTGCGTACATTTCAATATACAATTCTAACAATTGTTAATATTCAGCATCTACCAAAATTGAAACACGTTCATTTTACTATTTATATAGTACGCCTTTATTTATAGTTGCTTCTCGTATATATGTATTTAACAATTTCCAAACATTATTATTCCGTGGCGGTCTCTAAAAACGTATAAAATAAAAGGATGTGATCCAATTAAGTTTTATATTGTCCGCCATAAAAACTGTTTCAGTTTTATTTTCAATCGTATGCGCTCCTCAAAGCACGTAGAGTGTTTTATGAAACCAGATTTCTATTAGGTTATACGTTCAAATGAAATGTTTCAGTCTACCAAACAATTTTCCGTAGCGCGTGCTTTCCACGAGCGAACTTTATTCAGTACTTCACGTGACTAATGCGTCAGATCGCTTTATTAACGTGCTTTTGATTACCTTTGGTCATTTGAAAATTACCTCTTCAAGCTTTTATTCATAATTAAATTTAGTAAGAAAGTAGTTTATTTTATTTATTATTTATTTATTAAAGTCAATTTCAGCAAAATAAAAATTAATATTAATCAGAACTGAAAAAATATTGATATATATATATATATATATCGTTATATAAGTAAGTTTACTATGTACGTCTATCATTAATTACTAGTAACGCATTCGAGTATTTTGTCACTTCCCTATGGTTGACTGGGAGAGAATGCTTTTAGCATTAAGTCCGCCATGTACACATATATGTATTAATAAATAAATAAGAAAGAAGGAAAGAGATAAATCTATAAAAATTGCACCAGATTCCTATACACTGGCTGTCGATATAAATCACAAACAAATATCTCACAATATTATTAAATTAATGATGGAAGCTGATATTGAGTGATATTTATATTGGGGCAAGTAAAGGGTCGGAGATGAGCGAGAGGAAACACGCCTGTGAGATGCTCCGATGCTATTAAGATATCAGCTGTCAGGAGCATCCATAAGACTAATTTTAGTACGAAATAGACGGAAAGTGTTCCTCGTTGTCCGTCGTACGGTATTATGCGTGATTGCGATCGTATATATGAAAGACAAGAAAGAAAGAAAACGGGCAAGAAATTCAGCTGTTGCTTTTTTCTAGAAATTTAAGTATATAAATAATGAATTTGTGTGAATACAAACTATTAAGCAGTATCAGATCATAAAATTTTAAAATATATAGTATATAAATAAAATAAATCGGTTACAGTGAACAGAGCAGACCAGTCCTTAGAGGCAGCACCCGTTCACGAGTATGAACTAGCCATCATTGGGCTCGACTATATTTTAGGGAATTCAATAACCCAGCCCATTATGCCACCACCTGTCTGGACATTTTAGTGACTTACTCAAGGCCTCCGTCACGTCATAAAAAAGGAAGGATATTAAATAATTTCACCGAAATCAAACAGGAAAATATACGTTAAATCGCCATTTCATGTCAAACATTTTTTTTATACAACTTAGAATGGCATACAAGGTAACGGTCCACGTGATGGAAAGTGGTAACCGTCGCCTATAGACATGAGCAGTACCATGGACATAACAGAGTATACTGTTTCGCCCATGATACACCTCATGCGTTGCCATTCCTGAGGACTCAGGTGTTATTCCTCTGTACCCAGTAAATTCACGCCATATCCCACCCTTCAAACCGAAACACAGCCATGCAAACACAGCTGCTTCACGGTTGAAACACAATTGGGACAGAGGTACCCAAGCAATCGATTTTTGTACAAAGTCTCCCTCTGATAAGTGAAAGTGTACATTATATGTAACAGAGGGAGACTTTGTACAAAAGTCGTTTGCTTGGGCACCTCTGTCATTCATGTTTCTACCGTGAAGCAGTTGTGTGGCGTGTTTGGGTTTGAAGGGTGGGACGTGGCAGTGAATTTACAGGGTACAGAGGAATAACATCTGAGTCCTCAGAAATGGCAACGCACGGAGGGTATCATGGGCAAAACAGTATACTCTGTTATGTCCTTGGTACTGCTCATGTCTATAGGCGACGGTTACCACTTTCTATTAGGTGGGCCGTCAGCCTGTTTGTCATTCGAAGTTGCATAAAAAAGACATAAATTAACTATACTTCTTCCTTGTTAGGTAACAAGCTAAACTAAATTCTTACACCATTACTACTATACGAATGTCAGTCGAAAGGTTTTGGACTATCACTAGTCCATAAGTTGATACGAAGCGAACGTAAACTAGGTAATTTCATCAGGAGTTAGTGTACCGACGCGACGTCGTTAGCTGGCGGCGGATTTGTTTAACTTCTTTTATTCACTTTTAGGACTTTACGGCAAGGTAGATAAATATAAAACTTTATCTATATTTACTGTTGTCCACTTCAGTTCTTACTATTTCATGGTATAAAATTTATATCAATTCTGGCAGGTCAACTCGTGAGTTATAGCTGTTATTACAAAGGCAAGATTCAATTTAAGATAAAATATAAAGATGAATGGCAAGTAATAAATATGTTGACAGTTTACCATCAGATGGGCTGTATGTTTGTTTGCCACCTTTGTGGTATAAAAAGAAATAGTTTATCTTATTTAGAACTAAAATAAGTAAACTGAGTCTAGTAAACTGAGCGAAATCTGTAAAAAGTGTGGCCCTGGTTTATTGGTTATTTTCTATAAATATTCGGGGATTTGTAAGCAATTTACAAAAGGATAAAAAAATCCGACATGCCTTTTATTTCGTTTCATACATTATGCGATTTTAACAAATTTAAATTTAATGACACGTTTTATGGTGCAAAAATAAAAGCTAGAATTGAATCATAGCACTTATTGTTGTTATAGTTGTGTTTGCATGGCTGTGTTTCGGTTTGAAGGGTGGGATATGGCGTGAATTTACTGGGTATAGAGGAATAACACCTGAGTTCTCAGGAATGGCAACGCATGGGGGGTATCATGGGCGAAACAGTATAGTCTGTTATGTCCTTGGTACTGCTCATGTCTATAGGCGACGGTTACCATTTTCCAATAGATGGGCCGTCTGCTTGTTTGCCATTTTAAGTTGTATAAAAAAAAATATATGAAATACTTCGAATTTAATTTTATATTCATGTGAAAATAAATTATCAAAAAGAAACAAATATTTGGACATAAATAAAATACATAATGTATATATATATAATGCAAGATTTTACAATACAATCTACATCTACACTGATATTATAAAGAGGAAAGATTTATATTTTTGTGTGTATGTACGTTTGTAATGAATAAACTCAAAAACTACTTGGCCATTAGAAAGCTACATTCACCCTGAGTAATATAGGCTATATTTATTGCTAGAAAAGATTAAGGATCCTTACTAAAACTTTAGTAACGTAACTCAAGGTGTAAAAAATGCTATAAAATATCTTTCGTCGCGTGCGCTGCGGAAACTATTGGTGATAGAACAAAAGTATGTTCTACAATATTGAAGAATATATCAATAACTACAAAAAACTACGCGATGCTATATGTCCAACTATTATCGTTATGTCACAATAACCACTTTTTAAAATGTTGTAAAATGTCGTCTACCCCTGCGAAGCCGGGACGGGCCGCTAGTAAAATATATTTTTAAGAAAAATAATGTCTAGTAACTTTAGATAAGAGGCATTGTTCTGATCTAATCAGCCTTCGCAGACAAAACTGCATTCATTGACACCAAATATAAATAAAAAACGAAGCAAATTGCGAGCAAAACAAAGCTGGATCTATAATAGAATCTAAGAAGCGTCGGCGGGTAGGAGCGGGCCGAGGGTGCTTGAGCGTACATCGCAGTGGATAATAGCGATCGAGAGGCTTCAGCTTGTGCACACTGTGGCCACTAAACTAGCTAAGGTTTAACATATCAGCCTTTAACTGTCCACTGCTGGACATAAGCCTCCCCTGGGGGGGAGGGTTGCTAGTAGTTGCCACGCTTGGCAGGCGGAATGGCAACCGCAGTTAGGCTTTACAGATATTTTAAGAGGGACCCTGCTCCCTTTCCCTCGCCCTCCCTTAGTCGCCTCTTACGACACTCACGGGTGGGCTATTCTATGCCGGGACCACACGGCCAAGTTACATTATATATTAGTAAATTAGTACAATGATATCTAATATCAGATGGAGACTTTGTACAAAAGTCGATTGCTTGGGTACCTCTGTCCCATTCGTGATTCAAACGTAAAGGAGTTGTTTGCATGGCTGTGTTTCGGTTTGACGGGTGGGATATGGCGTGAATTTACAAGATACGGAGGAATAATAACTGAGTCCTCAGGAATGGCAACGCATGGGGGGTATCATGGGCGAAACAGTATACTCTGTTATGTCTATGGTACTGTTCATGCCTATAGGCGACGGTTACCACTTTCCATCAGGTGGGCCGTCAGTTTGTTTGCTATTCTAAGTTGTATAAAAAACTTGTGTAGTTTTAAAGAAAGAATGCATATTATTTGGATTTGTATATTTAATAAATAATTATCAATAGTAACTATATTAATTAATTAACAGTAATAAATTTTTTGTGTTGTGTGTGAACTATCTAGGTTGTCTGTAAGAGATTGCTTTTAGCGATAAGGCCGCCTTTTGTATACCATCATGGTTAATTCCTGTCGAATTCATCATGGTGGGCCAACTGACTTGCATTCATTCTGACGTATCATCTTCCACCTATAGAGTAGTCTATGGTTGTCAAACAGTAAATATCACTTTGTAATTCGTCCGTCAAAATAATAAAATATCATTAGTTATCGAGTGCTTTTACATGAACCGCCGAAATAAACATAAACATCAAGTGACACCGAACACCGAGGTAAATAGACACGTTGAAATAATAATTAGAAACAATTAAAATATCATCATTTTGTAATCCAGCTTTTTGAGGTTAGAAGAAAGTGAGTCATCCATCAAGACATTGATATTCCACGCAAGTGTCAATAAACGTCAGCGCACAGGTTATCAACAACGTCAAATACACGTCAGTGTTGCCATTCGAAAAATAAAAAAAAAATGGAGGGACAATTCAAATTACTTTTTGACCAAATGAAAATAGAAATGGAAAAACAAACAAACGTTATATTCGAAAAAATGGACGAAAAACTGGAACCATTGATAAAAGAGAACAAACTTTTAAAAAATAAAATAGAAATATTAGAAAAGAAGATAGAATATTTTGAAAAAGAAAAAAAGAGAAATAACATTCTGTTTTTTGGTTTGGAAGAAAAAGGGGATTCTTCTTTGGAATTGCTCCGGAGGATCCAGGCAATTTTCGAGGCAGATTTGAAAATTGCCTTGAGCGCTGCTGATGTATCAAAAATTCACCGTATCGGTCCTAACAAAGAGAATAAAATAAGGCCGGTTCTCATTAGTTTTACAAACAACTGGAAGAGAAGTGAGATATTGAAGATGAAGAAAAACCTTAAAGACGGGTATGTCACTGAAGATTTTCCTAAAGAAGTGTTAGAAAAAAGAAGAGAATTAAAGCCAAAACTAATAGAAGAACGTGCAAATGGGAACACAGCATACATCAAATACGATCAGCTGGTAGTAAGGGAAATAAACCCAAACAAAGAAAAAAGGAAAAGAGACCAATCATCTTCGCCGGTAAACCAACATCAGGCCAAAAAAACAGTAATTAATAATTTTATGATGAAGGAAAATAGAAAGAACGCATTTGATCTGTTGAGACAAAGATCAAACTCAATTTCTAATATTCCAAACCATTCCAAGTAGCAACTAAAAACTAGCAACCAGAGACAGAACAACCCCAATCCGGCTGGTCCCCGTGGGGTTCGACGATCACTACCCCCCCAAAGAAATGCATTCCTATATAAAAATAGAAACTACAACAAGATACACATTGCAACTTTAAATGTTAGAACGCTTATGTCGGACAGCAGACTAGAAGAATTGGAAGAAGCCATAACACGAATAAAATGGGATATCATTGGTCTTTGTGAAGTAAGAAGAATAGGAGAAGAGATTAGAGAATACGAAAAATACATTTTCTATTTTTATGGTAAACAAAAAGGTATATACGGAATGGGATTCCTAGTAAATAAATACTTAAAAGATAAAATAATAAGTTTCCAAGGAATATCAGATAGAATTGCCTTACTCAATATATATCTAACAGAATCTAAACAACATTGGTCGATTATTCAAGTACATGCACCAGGAGAGAAAGATACAAAAATTGCGAAAGATAAATTTTACAGGGATATGACTGACTTGATGCAAAACAAGAAAAAGAACATAATCATCATGGGAGATTTCAATGCTAAAGTTGGTAGCAAATCAAACAAAGATGAATTTGTTTTAGGAGATTACAGCAGTGGCGACAGAAACGATAATGGACAAAGACTCGTAGACTTTTCTTTTGCTCACAATCTTAAAATAATGAACAGTTTCTTCAAAAAACGTAAATCGAGAAAGTGGACATGGCTAGCACCAAACGGCAGAGATAAAAATGAAATTGACTTCATACTTACAAATGAAAAACATATATTTGAAAATATTGAAGTACTAAATAAACTAAATTTTAATACGGATCATAGAATGGTAAGAGGAGTTATAAAATGCATAAATAACAAATCAAGAAAATATATTATAAACTCAACCATGAATAAGACAAGAACATCGCCAATACCACCAAACGTTTTATTTGATTTACAGAATGCATTAAAGAAAGCCAAAGAGGAAACAAAAACATTACAAGAAAAGTATAATTTTTTGGAAAGGGAATTGCTAAACATAAATAAATTGAGTACTAAAACAGAGAAGATAAATAAGTTAGGAGAAGAAACGTTACAATTAATGAAAGAGAGAAATAAAATGTTACACCGACGAAAAGATAACAAACAAAATATCGCAACTATTAGTAAACAAATTCAAGAATCGATACGAAAACATAGAAAAGCTGAAAGAATCAATGTATTAAATGAACAAATAGAAACAACAGGCGGAATTAGGAAAGGTCTAAAACAGCTAAAAGAATATACTCAATGGATACCCAACATGAAAACTAAAAATAAGAAGAAAAACGAGAAACTGACGACAAAGAGATTATCCATAGCAAAAGCAGTGACAGAATTCTATAAGGAATTATACACAGATCCAGACAGAACAAAGCTAACAGAAGAAGAGAAAGAAATTTGCAAAGAAGAAATACCTTGTATATTGGAATCAGAAGTTATAAAGGCTATAAAATCACAAACAAGTGGGAAAGCTCCTGGAGATGATAAAATATCTAATGAAGTATTAAAACAGACTCTACCTGCGATATCCAAGTATGTGACCCATCTATTTAATGAAGTAATAGTATCTGAAAAAATACCCACTCAATGGACGAAATCAACCATTATCCTATTACATAAAAAGGGAGACAAAAATGAAATAAATAATTACAGACCGATAAGCCTTATGTCCAATTTGTACAAAGCGTTTTCTAAAATCATACTCGGGCGAATATCAAAACACCTTGAAGAAAACCAACCGAGAGAACAAGCGGGATTTCGCGCCGATTATTCTACTATCGACCATATCCATGTGGTGAAACAAGTTATCGAAAAACTAAACGAATACGGACAACTGTATTATATGGCATTCGTCGATTATAATAAGGCTTTCGATTCACTGAGTCATACCTACATTTGGAAAACACTAGAAAATCAAGGCGTAGAAAGTAAATACATAAGAATTATAAAAGAGATATACAGAAACATTACAGCAACAGTCCAACTTGAACAACAAGGTGAGGAGTTTAGAGTTCAAAAAGGAGTAAGGCAAGGCGATCCACTTTCCCCAAAACTTTTTATAGCCGTACTAGAAGATGTATTTAGGAATTTAGACTGGGAACATTTTGGAATTAATATTAATGGAGTAAACCTAAATAACTTAAGATTTGCCGATGATATTGTGATTTTTGCAACGAAACCAGGGATACTACAGAATATGCTCCAACAATTAGATTTAGAAAGCAAGAAAGCAGGTTTATCTATGAATCCAACGAAAACTAAAGTAATGACGAATACTGAAAGGGTCAATATAAGAATAGGACAAGAAGTTATAGAATATGTAGATGAATATATATATTTGGGGCAACAAATTTCGATAAAAGACCAGTATTCTAAAGAAATAGATAGAAGAATAAGTAACACTTGGAAACGGTACTGGTCTTTAAATGAAATAGTTAAAAATGAAGAAATTCCTATGGCAATAAAAAGCAAACTATATAACACATGTATTCTACCATGTCTTACATATGGATGTCAAACTTGGCCTGCTAAGAACAAAGATAACCAAAAACTTGTAGTTTGTCAACGCAACATGGAACGAAGTATGTTAAACATCAGACTAAGAGATCGATGGACAACTTCAAAAATAAGAAAAAGAACAAAGATCAATGACGTGTTACAAAAAATAAGAAAACTTAAATGGAATTGGACTGGACATATAATGAGAACCAACAAAGAAAAATGGACGAAGGATATAATAGAATGGTATCCTAGAAATGGGAAAAGACAACGAGGAGGACAAATCAAAAGATGGGAGGACGATTTACCTAAAGGATGGAGAAAGTCAGCTAGGGATAGAGAGAACTGGAAGCAATTGGAGTAAGCCTATGTCGACAGACAACCTGACCAACATAATGGTTGCTAGAAAGCTACCTTAGTAATAAGTAGTATATAAGTTAAAGTAAAATGTCAGAGAATAAAGGCTTTATTATTATTATTATTATTATTATCATCTTCCACTGGTGCCTCATCGGTGTATACTAATAACGCGGACGGTGTTGCCATTCCATTATCATTTATTAAAAAAAAATCAGTCCACAAAACGCCGTTCTCGTGGCCGTAGTGAAATGACGACACAGTAGTCGAGTGGGCGCGCCGTCCGACTAGAGTCTTCATCCCGCTAATCTCGGAATGCAAACCGTATTAACTTTTATTGCTAACACTGTCTGCCTCACACACTGTACAACCACTAGTTTATGCATCTCAACAGCAAAGATACACTTAGTTCAAGCTACCGAAATAAGCTGCGATAAATTGTGCGCTCAGTTGATCCTCTCCAAATATCCTTTGGAGTCAACTTACAACATACGAACCCTTTCACACGTCACGTGTTGTTTGTAGCTGCTTAACCGATTGCTTCAGAGGAGGGTAATGTCCTTAATTTGTTTATTTGTCTAGTTAGCATACTTATTTCTGTAGATAACTAAAAATTTTATAACTATGTGTTTTACGTAAACATGTGAGCAGTGTTTATATATTTTTGTGTATTTGTGTAGGTGTTTATTGTAAATGTTGATAATTAATTGATTATATAACAATTTATAAAAAAATATTTTTCATACCACGGAGGTGACAAATAAGCATACGGCCCACCTGATGGTTCGGGTTACCGTAACCTATGGACGTCTGTAATATCAGGGTTGTCACGCACGCGTTGTTGACCCTGAAAAAACCGGTTTAACCTTTTGAAGAACACCATGCCGTAGCATCTTAGAAAAGCCTCGTCAGGGAATTCATTCCGTAACCTGAGTGTTCGTGGGAGAAAACATCTTTGAAACTTCGTTTTGTGAGTTTGTAAAGTTGTTGAATAAGTGTCTCCATAGACAGTAACTTAAATAACTGATATATAACTTGGTTTTACATGCGATCTCACAACTTGTTGTCGTGTAAGGACTATTTCGCGAGACTTAGGATTTCTTTTTCATTTTCTATATTTTTTAATGGGATATTGACTGACCAGTATAGTATATAGCTGTATTATATATTTTCATCTATGAAATATATTAATAATAATAATAAATGGATTTATTTTCTCTTCACAATTCATTACAGTGAAATACAATGAGTCATGCTTATATTAAAGTAAACAAATTATAAATATAATTGTGAGAGACCGGTGCCTGAGATAGGTATAAGAATGCCTGTGTTACAGGTCACCAGGGGCTCACTCCGCAGGGTTACTTACTAAGCACTTGTAATAAATATAATTTATAGGAAGTATTACGGAGCGGTGGATTGTGATGAGGTGATGAAATGATGTATACACGGAATTTAGTAGCGAAATAAATGTATTAAACAGCAAGCAAGGAACAGAACAATGTGATATATGTAAAAAAATATTAAATTGAAATTACAAATAATAAGAACATTCTAAAAGTAAATGTATATAAAAAAAAGTATAATAATGTCTAAGGAGTTTGCATCGGCCGGTCGCCAATAGGAAGAGATAATTAATTATAATTTAATAATATTATTATAAATAGAAACTGATATATGAAATTTAATGGCATTTGCATGAGAAGTTAAGGAGTTAACAAACTCAGCTTCTCGTTTATTACAAGCAGTAAGGATTAGTTGAAGTAATGTAAATATATTAAGAGAAAAATACGCCATCAAAAATATATAATATATCGATATTTGTAATAACTGTAAGCAGTAAACATTGTTAAATATATGAGCTGTAACAGTACAAAGATATAAATGGTATTAAACAATTCTCTCGTGTAGACACACTAAGACGCGCTGTCTACATTTGTTTTTAGTAGATAGTCAATAAATTATTCTGTAAAATAGTACTACCATTATTTTTATTTGTCTACATTGCAACAGCTATATTCTTTTAAAGTTATTTTATCTGCATTCGCAGTTTAGTAAATAAAGGATGATAATTCTAATAATAACAATAGCTCGAAGAATCAACCGATAGGGAAGGAAGGTTTTTCAGTGGCGACCTCGTCAAACGCAGTGTCGGACGACCTTGTACTAGATGGAGTGACGACGTCGATAGCATTGCAGGGAGTCAGTGGATGCAGGTGGCTCAGCGCTGCTCCTTATGGCAGTCTGTGGGAAGGCCTATGTCCAGCAGTGGACAGATAATTGCTGAAATGATGTCGAATCATAATACTAATTACACTAGCAATTCGCCCGGGCTTCGCACGAGTAAATAGAAAATAATATATGTATGTATAGCACATGTTACTCTGTGATAATATAGTTTATATAGAGAGCTAGTAAAAGAATTTTTAAAGTTAGTTCAGAGAGTTTTTGAGTTTATCCATTACATATAAACAGAAAATCAAATGTCTAATGTTACATTCCTCTTTGTAATATTCAATAATAATAATCAAGGTAATGTAGTATACATTTTTTTTTTACAACACAGGGGGCAAACGAGCATGCGGCTCACCTGATGGTAAGTGACTACCGCCGCCCATGATCACCCACAACACCAGCGGCATTGCAGGTGTGCTGCCGGCCTTTTAAAAAGGAATATACTCTTTTCTTGGTCGGCAATGCGCGCGTGGTATTGCAGGTGTTCATAGGCTAACCACTTACCATCAGTTGGGTCGTATGCATGTTTGCCACCTCAGTGGTATAAAAAAAAATCACCAAAAGACTGCGGTTGCCAACCCGTCTGCTAAGCGTGACAACCACTGGTAAAAACCTCCTTATGGGGAAGGTTGCGTTCAACAGAGGACAATTAACATCTGATTTAACAAATACCTTATTACTAATATAACAGTTAGTGCTCCAGTAAGAGTTTATATGTATCTATATCTACACTAATATTACAAAGAGGAAAGATTTGTATTTTTATGTGTATGTATGTTTGTAATGAAAAAACACAAAAACTACTTTGCCGATTTCGAAAATTCTTTCACCATTAGAAAGCTACATTCACCCTGAGTAACATAGGCTATATTTATTGCTAGAAAAGATTAAGAATCCTTACTAAAACATTAGTAACATAACTCAAGGTGTAGAAAATGCTATTAAAAATATCTTTTGTCGCGTGCGCTGCGGAAACTATTAGTGATAGAACAAAAGTATGTTCTACAATATTGAAGAAAATATCAATAACTAAAAAAACTTCGTGATACTCTATGTCCAACTATTATCGTTATGTCACAATAACCACTTTTTAAAATGTTTTAAAAATGTCCACCCGTGCGAAGCCGGGACGGGCCACTAGTATAATATATAATACATTTTATTTATACAACTTAGAATGGCAAACAAACTGACGGCCCTCCTGATGGAAAGTGGCAACCGTCGTCTATAGACATGAGCAGTACCATGGACATAACAGAGTATACTGTTTCGCCAATGATACCCCCCATGTGTTGCCATTCCTGAGGACTCAGGATGTTATTCCTCTGTATCCAGTAAATTCACGCCATATCCCACCTTTCAAACCGAAACACAGCCATGCAAACACAACTGCTTCACGGTTGAAACACGAATGGGACAGAGGTACTCAAGCAATCGACTTTTGTACAAAGTCTCCCTCTGGTATATAGATAGATAGATAGATACATTACAAAATATAAATCATATTGTTCGCAATTATATAAATTGGCTTCTGCCAACTCATATGATTGAACAACAATATCCATTTCGGACATCATAGCTTGAAGATGGAATACTCACAATCGGTTACACATGATTGTTGCATCAACGCTGGCGTACTCGGAACATTCATAGCAGTTCAACAGCACGGAATTATGATATTCTTGATAGTGTTCTCGTTATAGGATGCAATCAATTATTATCGAAGCTCCATTGCAATAATACGATTCTTTGACTTATTTATATTTTCTTATGCAATTTAGAATGGTAAACAAGCTGACAGTCCACCTGATGGAAAGTAAGAAATAAGGACAGTTATTTATTTACTAATTCATTTGTATATGTATGTACATCGTGGATTTAATGCTAAAAGCATTGTCTCCCAGTCAACCATAGGGAAGTGTCAGAATACTCGAATGCGGTACTAGTAATTATTGATATACATACATACTAAAATTACATATATAAACGAATAAATATATATAAATAATAAATATAATTACACATATATAAAATATACTTTATTATACTCGAACGTGAGAATAATATATAGCACTTAAATTTGGTAAACAGTACAGAATAGAGATTATATTGATTCAATTAGACTTGTGTATAAGCTCTTTTAAAACGTTATATTTTATTATTATACTGCTAATTTCGGTATTTTGTTATTTTTTAATAATTTAAATATTCTAAATACACTATCAGGACTTAACGCGACGCGGTCCCAGGTACCTACACACCTGATTTTGCCCACGCGGGCAATTAAAATCAGGTTAATTTATGTTTACGTCCAAAAGCCGGCGATAAAAATTAGATACGTAGATATTCGTACTATAATATTTACCTGCAATCGTGAAGCGTTAAGTCTCTTTATATATCTTTTGTTTACACAATTTTCCGAGTTGAGTAAAATATCTTATCTATAAGGATCCGAGTCCCTTGCATTAAAGAAAGATAATTCCTTTATGTTCCTTATAGTGATGGTCTTGAGACTCCTTTCATAATAAGGAAATATCATGTTCCAACAATGGGACTATCTGCCAGACATTATTATTATCTGGAATTAAAAAATAAGGGAGCGTATAAAGCAGTTGCGTATCCAAAAAAAAAACTTCTCCGCAAAGGAATAGTAATTCCAATCATGCTAAAGGGCACCGTGAATCATGTGATATTTCATAAATCAGTTTGTTATTTTAATTTACAATGAAAAATTGTGCCACTTTTCCAAAGGGAGACTTTGTACAAAAGTTG